GGTGAGGCCGGGCTCCCGGGCACGCCGCGCTCCCGGGTCCCCGGCCCCGCTCACCTTTGACGTTGCCGCCGGCGATCACACATTTCATGGCACCGGTACCGGCACCGGCACCGGGCGGGCACGTGGGGCCTTCGCGCCAGCCCCCGGGCCCCCGCCCCCTCGCCCGCAGGCCACGCCCCCTAGCGGAGCGTGCGGGCTAGGCCACGCCCCCAGCGGGCTGCACTCGGGCCTCGCCGCTCCCCCCGCCGCGGTGGTTGTTCCCTCCCCGCCCCGCCGGTGCCGTCTCTCCGCAGCGGCCCCGCGGCGGTGCCCCCCAGCCCCCCTGTCCCGTCCCTTCCCGGCGGTTCCGGCCTCTTCCCCGCCGCGCCCCGCCGGTGCCGTCCCGGCTTCCCGCTCCCGCCCTCCCAGGCCGCCTTCCCATTGGCCAGAGGTGCCGCTCGGTCCCGCCCCCGCCGCCAGCCGATTGGTCCGCGCTGAGGGGGCGCGTGACGGCACGGCGCGATGGCCTCACGTGACCGGCGGGAGGGGCGGGGCCTCGTCCCGGCGGCTCTCGGGGCTGCCCCGCCAGTAAGCCCCGCCTCCCACAACGCGCTATTGGGCATCGGTTGGAATGACGTGCGGTTCAGCCAATGGGGCTTCGACGCGCCCCTCAGCGCCGCTCCCGGTGCTCAGCCCCGCACCGGCTCCTTCCCGGGACCTCCCGACCCATCCCGGGGCTCTGCCGGGGTCGTTCCGTGCTTGTGCCTCCCAGCACCCTGACCTTCCCTTCATTCCCGGCAGCACCCCGGGCCAGGCCGCCCTTCCGCCGCACTGCCCGCACCTCCCGGTCCCTTTGCCGCTTCCCGCAATCCCGGGGCACGATGATCCCCAGGAAGGGCTGCAGCTCCCTGGAGCCGCTCCGGTGCTTCCCGAGATCCCGGTGTTTTGGGGATCCCTGCCTCCCGGGATAGGGAATTTGGGGATCCCTATCTCCGCTTCCACAGGAGAGTGGAGTGCTCTACGTTAATGCTCGAGGGTCTCTCTCCATGCTGGAGGTGCTGCTGGCTGTGCATCCCATGGAATCATGGAATGGCTGGGCATGGAAGGGACCTTAAAGCTCATCCAGGTCCATCCCCTGCCAGGGGCAGAGAGACCATCCACTAGACCAAGTTGCTCCGGGCCCCATTCAACACTTCCAGGAATGGATTTTTGGGGGTCTCCCAGAATTCTCCAGTGGGGGTACACTGTAAATTCTGGGCTGGCCAGGTGTATCCAGGGGTGGTCCATAGCATGTCAGAATGGTCAGGGTTGGAAGGGACCTTAAAACCCACCCCATCCCATCCCCCTGCCATGGGCAGGGACATTTCCCACCGGCCCAGCTGCTCCGGTGTGTCCGTGAGCACTTGCAGGGATGTGACACTGGCTCAGGGATGTGACACTATCCCAGCAGTGTGACACTGTCCCCGGGATGTGACACTGGCCAAGCAGTGTGACACTGTCCCAGGGATGTGACACTGTCCCAGCAGTGTGACACTGGCCCAGCAGTGTGACACCAGCCCAGCAGTGTGACACAGGCCCAGCAGTGTGACACTGTCCCAGCAGTGTGACACAGGCCCAGCAGTGTGACACCATCCCAGCTGTGTGACACAGGCCCAGCAGTGTGACACTGTCCCAGCTGTGTGACACTGTCCCAGCTGTGTGATACAGGCCCAGCAGTGTGACACTGTCCCAGCAGTGTGACACTGTCCCAGCTGTGTGACACAGGCCCAGCAGTGTGACACTGTCCCAGCAGTGTGACACAGGCCCAGCAGTGTGACACCGGCCCAGCAGTGTGACACTGTCCCAGCTGTGTGACACAGGCCCAGCAGTGTGACACCATCCCAGCAGTGTGACACTGTCCCAGCAGTGTGACACTGTCCCAGCTGTGTGACACAGGCCCAGCAGTGTGACACTGTCCCAGCAGTGTGACACCATCCCAGCAGTGTGACACTGTCCCAGCAGTGTGACACTGTCCCAGCAGTGTGACACCAGCCCAGCCGCAGCCTGTGCCGCAGCCAGCCCGGAGCGGAGCAGCAGCTCCGGAGCGTGGCCCCACGGGAGGGGGGATGTGGCTGTCGGGAACTCGAGTCGCGCTCCCAGCAGGGTCCCCCCGCCGCTCCCCGTCCCTCCTGCCGGCCCCGGTGGCCGCGGAGCCCGAGCCGAGGGGCCCCATGGCAGAGCCCTTGTCCCGTGGCTGCCTTCCTCCAGGGCACGGTGACAGCCTCTCCTCCTCCTCCTCCTTTCCCTGCCTGGAGCGCTCGGCGCCTTTCACCCGGGATTTGTGGGTGCAGGTACGGGAGCTCCTGGCCCCGCCACGCGTAGGGCAGTGCTGGGACAGCCACACGGAGCCCCAGGGACTCCAGGCCTGCCTTGGCCTGGGCTCGGGCTCCAGCCGGATCTGGCTCCTCCGCCTCTGGGGTGAGCACTGGCTGCTTCCCTTCCTCCCAGGAGGAGGAGGAGGAGGAGGACGGGATTGTGTGGGAGCCTCCGTTCCAGCTCTGGCAGCGCAGCCGGGCTCCTCTGGAGCCGCCGTCCCCAGGAGGGGCTCTGGCCTCGGGGCTCGGCGTTTTATGGGGCTGCGGAGAGGACGCAGCTGGCTGCGGTCGTGACACACACACCTCAGCGGGGGCCAGCGCCGGGCCACCCCTCCCTCTCGCCGGGAATGGGCTGCATGGGGCCGGGAGCGGGAGCCTGGCAGCCCTCGGGGGGTGGGTGAGCTCCCCCTGGGGCCGGGCAGTTCACCGGGATGGCGATGGCGGGCAAGGTGACAGCGCTGCTCCCTCGCACCCGGCGGGCTCGGGGTCGTGTCCCGGCTCCTTCCCGCTCCTCCGGCTCCCTTCCCGGCACATGGCACGGCGCCCTCGCCCGGGCAGCGGCTCGGCGAGACAGACGGCCACAGCTGGGCTGCCGCTGCCAGCCCGGCAGGAGGGGACACGCCGAGCCGGATGGCCGCTCCGCGCCCCTGCCCGCGCCCCAGCGCTGTCCCCGCGGAGCCGGGCGCTGCCCGAGCCGAGCCCCGCTCCGGGGCTGCCGCCGGGGTTTCGGGGTTCGGGCAGCCCCGTCCCTGCCTCCCTCCTCCGGCCGCAAAGGGCAGCGCCGGGAGGCCGGGCTGGAGGTGAGCTCAGCTGCCCGGTGACGGCCCCGAGGGCAGGGCGGGCACGGCCTCACCCACTCCGGGCGATGAGGAGGAGGAGGAGGAACAGGATGTGAGGATGAAGCTTCGCAGCGCCTTGACCTGCCCGTGCCCCGTGCCCGCTTTGTCCCGGGGCCGGGGCTCCCTCCTGGCACCGCTGGCTGGCACAGGGAGAGCGGCTCGGGAAGCGGGAGCTGCATCTGCCGGGCCGGGTTCCCTCCTCCTCCTCTTCCTCTCCTGTCTCAGGTGTGGGCCCAGCGGGAGCCGTGGCAGCCGGAAAGCCCCGCAGACCCGGGCGCAGCGCTGGGTTTGGGGAGGGGAGAAGGCGGCGAGGGCAGCCCCGCGCCTCGGCAGCCTGCAGACCCCCGGGGACGGCCCGGCGGCTTTTCCCAACTGCTCCAGCGCTGCTGGCGGGATCTGCTGGCTCGGGGGGGAAACCAGATACGCTGCCCTGCGGCTGGGGGGGCGAGGGGCCGGCCCCACGCCGAGCGGACCCCCCCAGACACGCTGCCGGGGCGCCGGGCCGGGGCTCCCCCCAGCCGCGGATCCTTTGGGCAGCTCCGTCCGACACCTCCGCAGCCCCTCCGGATCCCCAGGGCTGCGGGGCGTCCCCCATTCACCCGGGGGAGCGGATCCAGAGCCCCCCTCGCCACCCCTGACATGTCTGTTGGGCGCGTCCTCATGGATTCAACACCAAATCCGCACTTCCCGAGCCATAAATCAGCCAGCAGCGCGCCCGTGTGCGGCTTGTCCCTACGGGGGGTCCCCAAACTGCTGCTAATGACTTCAGCACCCAGTGTCCCGGTGGGTTTGGGGACAGGGGGTCCTGCTGTGCACCCCGCGTCCCGCGGAGAGCCGGGAGGATGCGATGGCAGCCGGGAGGGCTCGGACCTGGCCAGGGCCGGGGTCTGGAGTGGAAGCGAATCCGCCTGTTACCTCCCGGCCCTTCCCGGCGCTCCCAGCGCCTTTGTTTTAGACAAAGCTTTTTTTGGGGGGAGCCAGGACGTTCCTCTCCCCGCCGAGAGAGCCCCGAGGCTGCACCCACTCATGGACGAGGGACACGAGGGGAAGGGACGGGGGGCTCCGGCTGTCGGGTCCCCTCCGGCGGCGGCTCCGCTCGGCCCTGGGGGTCTCCCCACGCCCCCTCAGCCCACCCCACTCACCCCCGGTGGGCTGCGGGCAGCGCCGCAGTCACTGCCAAGGGCCCCGCGGGCGCCGGGACGGGGATTGTCCTAACGGAGGAGGATAACCGGGAAGAAAGCGGCTCTGGCACCGGAGGGAAGGGGCTGGGGGGGCCCGGGGCCGCGGGGAGAAGCGAAGCCCCCGCTCGGGACGGAGGGTCCCCCGGGGCTGAGCCGCCGCCGCCGCTCCGGGAGGCTCCGGTTGTGCCGCCGGGACCCCGCCGCGCTCCCCCCGCTGCGCCGCTCACCTGCCGCCGTCCCGGCGGGGCAGCGCCCGCCGCGCTGCGGCTCCCCGAGCCGGGGGGGGTCCGCGGGCCCCGGACCCCCTCTCTCGGCCGGAGGGGAGGGGGCTGGCCGTGCCCGCGAGGAGCCGAGGACCCCCCCCTCCCCGCCCCGCCGCCACCCTTCCCGCACCGGCCGGCCCCATCCCTCCGCCGCTCCTCCCCGCTGCCCCGGGGGGGGAAGGAAGGGGGGGCAGGCTGGCACCCCACGCCCCCCCCGGCCCCGGCCCCGCCAGAGGAGCCGCTCCGCCGCACCTCGTCCCGTCCCCCCCCGTCCTCCCCTCCCCGGACCCCCCCTCCGTCCCGTCCCCCCCGTGCTCCCCCCGGGACCGGGCTCTCGGCTCTGTGCGCGGGGAGGAGGAGAGGCGAGAGGGCTCGGAGCGGCAAATGGGAGCCGCAGTCCCGGGCCGGTGTGCGGGACCGCTGCCTGCCCGCCCGGGGAGCCCAGAGCACGCACGCAGCGCCCCGGCCCCGCGCCCGTCCCGCATGGAGCTGAGAGCAGGTAGGAGACCCCCCCGGCCCCGCACCGGCCCCGCACCGGCCCCGCACCGGCCCCGCACCGGCCCCGCCGCTGCCACTTTAACAAAAGCCGGGCGGGAGCCAGAAGAGCACCGGGGGCGCAGCGAGGCAGAAAGCGGGGGTCCCCCCCTTCCCAGCCGGCCAGCGGCACCCCGGGGGACCCCCCTCTTCCCTTCCCTCCCCTCCGCCTTCCGCAGCGCCGGGGCTCGACTCCAGCCTCCCCACCTCTGCCCGGTGCCGGGAGCCCGGGATGGGGATGGGGAAAGGGGGGATGAAGCCGGGGCCGGGGGGGAAAGGGAGGGAATGAATGGAGCCCGCTCTTGTGTACAATTGCATCAAATACATTCTTGAAAGCAACCTGGTTCTGCTTAACACTTGAATTGGGAAAAAAAAAAGAGGAAAGAAGGAGGCAGCAGCTTGGAGAGGGTGGATGCGAGCTCCAGTTTTTTTTTTTTTCCTTTTTCTTTTTTTTTTTTTTTTTTTTATTCCTGCATTCCTGGACCCCAATCAAAAGAGCAAATCAAGGGAGGTGGAAGGGGGGAACGGCGGCGAGCGAGGCAGCCGGAGCGCGGTGCGAACCCTCCACACCCCAAAAACCCACCCAACTCGCCCCGCTTTTTTCTTTTTTTTTTTCCACCTAACACCCGAGCGAGCCCAAACCAAAACAAATAGAGACCGAGGGGAAAAAAAAAAAAAAGAAAAAGAAAAAAAAAAAAGAAAGCCAGAAACCAACCCAAAAAAAAAAAAAACCACCACCCAACCCTGAGCGCGAGCGAAGCAGCGAGCCAGGGCTGAGGCGAGCGGGCGGGCTCGGGGAGCCGAGCAAGAGCCGAGCCCCCCAAAATCCCCCTGCACCCCGACTATGCTAAATGTAACCGGGGAGCTCTCAGGTAAGCCCGCGGCGCTGGGTGCGGGGCGGGGGGCTGCCCCAACTCCCCTGCCTGCATCTGCCGGCAGTTTTTTCCCCCTTTCCAAACCGACTGCTGATTTTAATTTGATGTGATTAAAACGTCTGTCTGGCTTTGGGATTGATTTAAGACTTTCCCCTCTCTAGGTTGGGTTGTTGTTTCTTTTTTTTTTTCTTTTTTTTTTCCCCCCCTTTCTCTCGTTCCCTCTTTTCCATGCATGTTTGTGATTACCAGGGAGGGAACCGCCGCTGAGCACGGAGAATTAAACCCCGGGACCGACAGAGGGGAGGAAAAGGAAAGTCGGTGGGATTTATGGGGGGCTGCAAGAGTTAGTTTTCCTGCCCGGGGCTGCATTTCGGGGCTTGACACGGGATCCGCCGCTGGAGCCGGCGTCGTTCCTGCGGGACCCGGCAGCGGGGTTGGGGTGCCGGGGAGGGGGCGGCTTTGTTCCCTCGGCCCCGGCGGCCACCGGCACCCCCGGGGCGGCAGCGGGGCCGGCCGGCCTGGCGGCACACCGGCACCGGGGGCTGCTCGCCCGGAAAATGCTGGAAAACACCCTTAAAAGGTCAAAGTGTGGGCGCCGCCAGGCTCGCCGGGGTCCCGGGCGGCAGGACCGGGGCCGGGGCAGCACGAGGCCGCCGCCGGGTTCGGCTCCGGCTCCCGCGGTGCCGCCGTGACGCAGGACGGGCACGGCGGGGCGAGCGCCGGGGAACCGGAAAAGCGAGGCCGGGATCCCCGGCGGCTCAGTCGCCCTCCCTCGCCCCTTCCTCTCCCGCTTCCCGCCGCCGCCGGGCCCGGCGGACGTGGCCGGACCGGTGGCACGGCCGGTGCCGAGGCCTGCGGGGACGGGCGGGGAAGGGGACGCCGAGGAGAAGCCGCAGCGCCGGGGCTCGGCCGGCGGGACCCCGTTCCCGTTCCGGCACATCCCCAGCCGGGCGGTGTCGGGACTCTCGGCATCCCCGGTGTCCCTGTTTAGCGGGCGGTGCGAGGGCACGGTGGCGGCCGCACATCTGGGCTGCATTAGGCGCAGGCTCCGCAGGGAAATGCGGAGGGCTCTGCTTACAGGGCCGCGCTGGGGGGAGATTTATGCCCTGCTAAGTGGCACCGAGCCCCATAAATCACCCCCCGCGCCCCCCGGGGCTGCAGCGCCGGCGTCCCGGTGCCACCGTGCCAGCACCGCCGTCCCAGCGAGGGCAGGCTGGTGGGGATGCGCTCCTGGATGGGCAGGCTGGGAAATCTGGGATATCTGGGAAGCGGCTGGCCCGGCAGTGCTGTGGCTGCGTGTGGCACGTGGCCTGTGGGTGACAGAGGCGTCCCAGGCCTCAGCAGGGTGCTGTGGGGACATCAGGGCATGGCCGTGCCCACCAGAGCGCTGGTGCCACACTGAGCCAGCCAGGCAGACAGTGTCCCCATGGCAGGCCATGCCAGCAGTGCCAGCGGGTCCGGAGGTGCCCGGGTGTGTCACCCACAGCTCTGTGGTGTCCCGTGGGCTGGCACCGGGTGTCCCCTGCCCCGCTGGAGGGCGGCCAGCCTGGCTCTGTGCTGGTGAACCCCCAGAAAGCCCCTGGAGGGCTCTGTGGCTCTGTTACCCGCTCTGGGAACGGCAGGAAGGGATGGAGGTGCCTCCGGGGCGTGCGTGTGGGGCAGCGGGGTCTGGTTGGGATTAGGGGCCTGCGCCCCCCTCGCCGCCGGGGGTGTTTCCATGGTGCCGCTGGCTGGAGCCGGAGCTGGATGGGAAATCCAGGCCCAGCTAATTACGGCCTCACTGGAGTCTCCCGTGCGCGGCCGCATTTATAAACACACGGAGGAGACAGGATGTAAACACTCAGCGCCGCGAGCGAGCGAGAGCAGGCACGGCCCGCACCGGGGGGGGGACACGGGGCCTGAGCCCCCCGCGCCACCACCCACCCTGCACGGCAGCTTTGCCATGGATGGGTGGGATGGGATGGATGGGATGGATGGGATGGGATGGGATGGGATGGGATGGGATGGGATGGGATGGGATGGATGGATGGATGGGATGGATGGATGGATGGGATGGATGGATGGGATGGGATGGATGGATGGATGGATGGATGGGATGGATGGATGGATGGATGGATGGATGGATGGATGGGATGGATGGATGGGATGGGATGGATGGGATGAGGACCCCGCTGTGGTGGCCGTGGGTGCTGTTGGGGAGGAAGGGCACATGTGTTCTTCCTTTTGGAACCCAGGGAATACTGCGTTTGTGGTATCTGGGTGTGGAAGGTGAGCATCCCCATGTCCCCACCGTGCCAGCTCCACAGGGACGCTGCTGTGCTGTGGTGGCACCTCCCCAGACACGGCGGGGTTACATGCCAGCAGTGTGGGGACACAGAGGCCGCTGTCCATGAGTGTCACCCACTCCAGGCCCCTCGGAGCTGGCAGCCACACTGGGAAACCCCTGTGAAGGGTTAAGCGGTGCCCGTTGGTGGCCAGGACAGTGGCTGGGGTAGCGGGGACAGGGCTGCTTTGTCCTCTGTGCCACAGCCATGCCTGGCCACCGCCAGACCTCCCGTGCTGGCCCCAGGAGCGGGGCTGCGGGCTGTTCGGGGCTCTGCTGGCCGCCGGCCCATCAGATACAGGGCAGCTCCCGCCGCGGCGCTGGGGCCGCCTCGGCCCCGTCCTGGGCCGGGGCTCCGGGGCCGGGGGGTCTCCCCTTCCCGCCGCCGCCCCCGCCGCCCGGCTTTCGGGAAAGCGGCTCTGTGGTCGCGCAGCCCTGGCGGCTCTGCCCACAGCATGCCCAGCGAACAGCTCACCGTCCCCGTGGCCGAATTCCTGCCTCGGCCGCTGGCCGGGAGGTCTGGCCAGCGCTGCTGCCTGCGCTGCCGGGCGGGTGGCAGGCCGGGGGTGCCCGGTGTCACCCCAAAGGGGGCGAGCCGCGTCCCCGCTGCCACGTGTGCGGTGGGTGTCCGTGGCACCGCCGGTGTGCGCGGGCGGCTGTGCTGGCAGAGCAGGGGGTGCCCGCTGCCCTGGCCCCCCGTCACCCTGGCTGCTCGGGTGTCCCCAGGGCCCAGCGGGTGACCCCGGGCAGGCACGCCATGAGCTGCTTACGTGGGCTGGGAGCATCCTGGCCGCGCTCCAGGGCCGGTTTTGAAACCCTCGGGCTCTTCCTCTCCGACGTCACCGGGATCCAGCTGTGCCGGCTGGAGCCTCCCTCCTCCACTGTCTGTGCCGGTGGGTGCCCGGCGCCAGCCGCGGGGACACGGTGGGCAGGGGACAGCGGGGGCACCGGCTGTGGCTGGGCCATTGTCACTGCTGGGCCACGGTCACCGTCACTGCTGTGCCACGGTCATCGTCACTGCTGTGCCCCGGTCATTGTCACTGCTGTGCCCCGGTCACTGTCACTGCTGTGTCATGGCCACCGTCATTACCGTGCAGTGTCACTGTCACTGCTGTGTCATGTGTGTCATGGTTACCGTCAGTGCTGTGCCCCAGTCACTGTCACAGCTGTGCCAGGGTCACTTGTGCCCTTGTCACTGTGTCATGATCACCACTGCTCAGCGCCATCCATTCTGTGCATCCCACCGTTCCCATCCCTCAGACATCCACCTCCATCCCCTTCCTCCATCATCCTCATCCTCATCCTCGTGTCCAGGCCACCTGCCCGGGATCCACCGTGGCTCCATCCCAATCTCCCATCCCTGCCATCCCCCCCCATCCCGCTCCCCGGCTGTGTTTGGTTTGGCACCGGCCAGGCCGGGGCGGGTGTAAATCCCGCCTGGAAACCAGAGCCGGCGGCGGGCGAGGGTCCGGCCAAAGCAAACACCGGGGGGGGGAGTTCTGTGTGCTGTGAGTCACCGCGGCCCCCCCGCCCCCCCCGGCCCACGCTCGCACGCACGGGGAGCCGGCCGCACGCTCCGTGCACCGGGACACACCGGGACACACCGGGATGCACGCACGGGGGACACGGGGGCACGTGGCGCCACGTGGGGTGTCACAGCACGGTGTGGTGTGATGTGTGCACGGCGTGTCACATGTGGGTGGCACGTAACAGTGTGTCCCCCCCGATGGGGTACGTGCACAGCACGCTGCATGCTCTCCCGGCATGTCCTGTGAGTGTCACATGTGTCACGGGCCTGTGTGGGAGATGACACACCTGGGCGGTGTCTCATGCGTGTGTTGCGTCACACGTGTGCACAGTGTCACACTGCATGGTGTCACACGTCTGGAAAATGCCGTGTTCCCCACGCCTGTGTGATGCACTCACATCGGGTGCATCCCAGGTGTGCCCTGGACGCATCCCAGGGGTGTCACGAGTGTCCTGCACACCTCTGGTGCGTATCCCAGCTGTGACAGTGCCCTGCACACCTCCGGGGTGCATCCCAGGTGGGACAGTGCCCTGCACACCCACGGGGCACTCGCATCCCCCACAGTGAGGCAGTTCGCAGGACACCCAGGGCGGTGATGCCGCTGTGGCCGGAGCCGGGGTGTCCCCGAGGGCCCCCGTGCGTCACCCGGGGCCGGTGACGGGGAGCGGTGACGCGCGGGGCGCGGGGGGCTGCCCGCAGCGGGAGCCCCGCGGTGCCGAGCCGTGCCAGCGGCCGGGCTTTCCCGGGAAGCGCTGCCGGGAAGGCCGGCTGTGGCGAGCCGGGGGTGCCAGCTGGCCGCAGCGTGCTGGCCGAGGGCCGTGACCTTTGCGGAGCCGCCGGCCGCGCTCCGGGGCCGCCCTGACGTCAGGCCGGTGATGACGGGGACCCCGCCGGCGCTTTCCGGTGCCTCCGCAAAGGTCACCCCGCGCCCCGGCCGCTCCTCGGAGCCGCTTCCCGCCACCCTCCCCCCCATATTCCCGGTGGCCCCTCGGCGGGGGTCCCCGCTGGGTGCCCGGGCCGCTCCAGCGTTGGCGGTGCCCAAATATATCCCAGGCGTGTGTCCCGGCGGGAATGCCGCGGCCGCGCTGCTCCAGACCATATAAAGGATTGTTGGTGCAGCCGCGGGCGGGAGCGCTCCGAGGGGAGCCGGGGGGTCACCGCGCTGAGGTGGGGGGTTCCTGCTGCTCCGGGGGCTGGTGAGGTGAGGGGGATCCCACCCTCCCCTCCTCCGTGCCTCAGTTTCCCCGGGTTCAGACGGGTGACTCGGGCATACTCTGCAGGCTCAGCGCCGCACACACGGAGACGGAGTGTCCCTGTCACCCGCCCTGAGGTGCTGTGTGTCCCCCACAGGTGACTCTTGGGGGATCTTCACCTTCCTGTGCGCTGCGCTTTGCAACCTGCCGGCGCTGCCGGCGCTGAACTGCTCCGAGGAGCTGGGCGCCGGCCAGTCCATCCAGCAGACGTACGACCTGACCCGCTACCTGGAGCACCAGCTCCGCACCCTCGCCGGCACCTACGTGAGTCCCTGACGCGGCACCCCCCGGGATATCCACCCCGTGCCCAGCTGCTCCCACGCCGGAGGGCGCGGAAATGCCTCATCGCCCCCCGGGCGCAGGGCGGCTCCCGGGCACCCTCCCCTCGGCCCGTGATTCCGTCATGGGCGCGGGCATCCGCCTCTCCCTCCCCGCCGGCGTCGCCGACTCACCCGGAGGTTCCCCGTCCCTGCCCTGACGTGCCCTCGGCGGGCCCGGCGCGTTCGGTGCCAAGCGGTGACGGTGGCACCGCCCGGGCCGCGCTGGAACCTCCGGCTGGGGCAGGGCACGAGGGGGACGTGACGGGAGAAGGGAGAGCCGGGATGAACGGGATGAGCGGGATGAGCGGGATGAGCGGGACGTGGAGCTGGGCACGGCGTGGATTTGTATCCCTGACCCCCGGCACCCCCATTCCCTTGCAGCTGAACTACCTGGGCCCCCCCTTCAATGAGCCCGACTTCAATCCGCCGCGGCTGGTGCGCGCCGAGCCACGCGTGCCCAGCGCCACCGTGGACCTGGACCTGTGGCGGGGCCTGACGGACAACGCGCGCCTGGCCGCCAACTACCGGGCCTACAGCCGCCTGCTCTGCTACCTGCGGCTGCTGGACGGGCAGGTGGGCACGGCCGAGCTGCGCCACCGCCTCGCCCACTTCTGCGCCAGCCTGCAGGGGCTGGTGCTCAGCATCGGCGGCGTCATGTCCTCGCTGGGGTACCCGCTGCCCGCCGGGCCCGCCGCGCCGCCCGCCGGGCCCCCCGGCGCGCACGCCGCCCCCAATGACTTCCTGAAGAAGATGGATGATTTCTGGCTGCTGAAGGAGCTGCAGACCTGGCTCTGGCGCTCGGCCAAGGACTTCAACCGCCTCAAGAAGAAGGTGCCGCCCGCTGTGGTCACCCTGCGGCTGGAGGCGAGGGGGTTCTGAGCACCTGCTGGGCTCCAGTGCCACCACGGCCACGCAGGTCCCCTCTTCCACCACCCGTGTGCCTTGAGAAATGGGGCTCCAAACCCCAAACCACCCCACAACCTCATCATCACCTGGCAGTGCCTTGAAAGATGGGGCTCCTGACCGTGTCACGTGTCACCACAGCCACCCTGCAGCCCCTCCATCATCATCATCATACTGTGCCTTAAGGAACAGGGCTCCTGACCCCAAGTGCCACCACGGCCACCCCATGTTCCCTGTCCACCACCAGTGTGCTTTCAGAAATAGCGTTTCTGACCCCCAAGTGCCCCCACAGCCACCTCACAATCCCACTTTCACCATGGTGCCTTAAGTGAGGGGCTCCTGACCCCAAGTGCCACCCACCACAGCCACCTCACGTCCCCTCTGTCACCACACTCTGCTGAATGGGATGCATCTCCTGACCCCAAGTGCCACCAAAATCACTCCATGTCCCCTCTTCCCAACTAGTGTCCCTTCAAAACTGTCTCCTGACCCCGGAGTGCTGCCAAAGCCACCCCACGTCCTTATCATCACCCAGCTGTGCCTTAAGGGGTGGAGCTCCTCACCCCAAAGTGCCACCACAGTCACCCCGCAGCCCCTCCGTCACTAGGTTGTGTCTTAAGGGACAGGTGTCCTGACTCCCGAGTGCCCCTCCATGGTGTCCCCAACCCCCAGGGTGCCTGTCCCCATCCCTAAAATCTCCAGAGTGGGTGAAAACCCCGCCCATCCCAAAAAGGACCAACGCCCTCTGAGCATAGGAATAAGCCCCGCCCCAGCCAGCAGCAAGCCACGCCCCCGGAGCAATAGGCTCCGCCCTAGACGGCAATAAGCCCCGCCCATCCGACTGCGTAGCAAGCCCCGCCTCCTCCCGCATCAGGCCCCGCCCCCTGACCCAAGCCCCGCCTCCCCATGGGTGCCCATCGATGGGCGGTGGGGCGAGGCCGTGGGGCGCCGCCGCTGTCCCGGTCCGTCTATGAGTGTTTATTTATTGGAGATGTTTATTTATTGGGGTATTTATTGCAGAAGATCTATTCTTGTATGAACGAATAAAAGCCTTTCTCCAGCCCCCCGCCTCGCCCGTGCCGCACCCCGGTCACGGCTCCGTGTGGAATTTGGGCTGTTCCTGTCAGTGCCATCAGCAGGGATCAGGGTGAAGGGCTCCAAGTGTGGGGATTGGGGTGTTCCCCTCTCTCGCAGGGTGAGGATCCAGGTAACCCCACCCCGAGGACAGGCACTCTCCACCATGGGCACTACTTGGGGGTGCCCAGGATCATGTGGAAGGTTCCGGGCTGGGGCTCGAAGCCGATGGCCTGCAGGGCATGCAGCGAGGCCGTGTTGTGGGGCAGCACGGCGCAGTAGATGGGGAAGCCGCGGGCGTGCAGCTCCCGGCCCAGCGCGTTCAGCAGGAGCCCGGTGAGGCCGCGGCCGCGCCAGGCGGGCACGGTGTAGCCGTGGCGCAGGCAGCCCTGCCCGTCCAGCAGGCTCCAGGACACCGGGCGGCCCCGCGGGCCCAGCAGGCAGGCGGAGGGCAGCGCCCGCACCAGCCCCAGCAGGAACGCCCGGCTGCGGGCATTGCCCCCCAGCGCCCACGTGGCGTTGAGAAGAGAGATGTGGGATGGGGACACGGGCGCCAGGCGCAGGCCCGCGGGCATCCTGCAACAGGGCGTGGCAGAGGGGGGAATGCTGAACCCTGGTGCCAGCTGGGATGGCAGATGGGGTGGGATTGGGAACCCCTGTGCCACCCAGGGATGGAATATGGGACCCTTGTTTCCCCTGGGAATGGGATTGGGAACCCCTGTGCCACCCAGGGATGGAATATGAGACTGGTTTCCCCAAGAGATGGATTTGGGAACCCCTGTGCCACCCAGGGATGGAATATGGGGCCCTCATACCACCCAGGCGTAGGACTGGGGACCCCTGTGCCACCCAAGGATGTGCTCAGTGATCCCACTCATGTCACCTAGTGACCCCTGTGCCACTCAGACAAGTGCTCGGGGACCCCTGTGCCACCCAGGGATGGAATTTGGGACCCTTGTTTCCCCTAGGGATGGGATTGGGAACCCCTGTGCCACCCAGAGATGGACTCTGAGACCCTCATAACACCCAGGAGAGGGACTGAGGACCCCTGTGCCACCCGGAGGTGTGCTCAATGATCCCTCTCATGTCACCCAGTGATCCCTGTGCCACTCAGGCAAGTGCTCAGGGACCCCTGAGCCACCCAGGGGTGTGCTCAGTGATCCCACTCGTGTCACCCTGTGCCTGTCAGGGATGTGCTTGGGGACTGCTGTGCCACCAAGGGAGGTGACTATGACCCCCCTGTGCTACCCAGAAATGTGACAGGTCTCCGTGTGCCACCCAGGGATGTGACTGGTCCCTCAGTGCCCGTGTGCCCCCAGTGTCCCCTGTGCCCCCAGTGCCCCTCACTCACTGCCTGCGGGGCTGGGGGGGCTCAGGGCTCATCAGCGCCCGGTACCGGATTGTCTCCACCTTCAGGCCCCTGGCACTGGCCACCTCCTGCACGGCCTGGTCCAGCCCATCCTGCATCCCTGGGACACCCTGTTAGCCAGACAGGGGACCCAGAAGGAGCGCAGAGGAGCCCAGTGTCCTCCCAGTGCCACCCTTACCCAGAATCTGGAAGGCTCTTTCCCGGGTGACGGCCTCAGTGCCCTCCAGCAGTGCCTGCAGGGCTCCCTTGTCCCGGTAGAACACGGACAGCTGGTTGGTGTAGTAGTCCCTGGGGTCCCTGTGGTCCTGGGAGGGACATGGAGCTGAGGGTGGCACCCCAGTTCCCAGGCCCCTGGGGTGTGGGGTGCTGCTGCCAGGGCAGGGGCAGCACCTCTGGGCGCAGGCGGGTCAGGACGATGCTGAAATTGGGCCAGGAGTCCACCAGCACCTCGTGGGAGGCTGGGTTCCCCCTGGCCACCGTCATCACTGTCCCTAGGACCTGCACGGAAGGTCATTGTCACCTGTAGGACAGGGCAGAGGGGACAAACGGTGCCCAGAGTCCCTCCAGTCCCTCGCCAGCAGGGGAGAGGGAGCAGCAGAGACCCCAGGGTGTCTGTTGGCAGCAGGGCAGGGGAGAGGGGACACAGGGGTCCTTGTCACCACCAGGGTACGTGGGGAGGCAGACGGGTCCCAGGGTCCTCATACTGGCAAGACAGAGGAGAGGGGACAGGGACAGGGACAGGGACAGGGACAGGGACAGGGACAGGGACAGGGGGGTCCCGGGAATCAGCAGCACTGACAGGACAAGGGTGAGGGGACAAAGGAGACCCCAGGGTCCTCCCCACTGACAGGGAGGGAGGGACAGAGGGCTCCCCAGGGACTCTGTCACCAGCAGGACAGGGCAGAGGGGACAGAGGGAGCCTCGGGGTGGCTGTCACCGGCAGGGTGGTGGGCAGGCTCTTCCGCAGGGTCTCCTCCAGGAGCTGCAGCTGGGCTGGGCACCTCAGGATCTGCATGGCTTCGTGACCGTGGGGCAGGTGGGGACACCGAGGATCCGTGGGGAGCTGGTGGCACTGGGGCAATGTCCCTGAGTGTCCCAGACAGGCACCCGTCCATCAGGTGGCCACAGGGCTGGCCCAGTGCCCAGTGTTCAGCAGGATGGACCCTGCCCGCTGCCCCCCAAGGCAGGGGGCACTCGCTGGCCCGTGACAGCTGCGGTAACCATTGTCACCAAACGCCACACAGTCTCTAGATTCCCACTCCACAGCCCCCCGGAACCCACAGACTCAGGACTCTTGCTGTGGTGAGTGCTGGAGGAGATGCGGGCCGTGGGGAAAGGGATGGGGACAGGGACAGGGGCCATGCCTGGTGGCCCTGTCCCCCTGTTACTGAGGGTCTCTCAGCAGGACAATGAAGATCCTGACGTGCTCTGCCCATCTGCAGCAACTGGAGGGGATCCTGAGGAAGAGCCTGCCCATCGCCCTGCCGGTGACGGGGACCCCACTGTCACCCCTGCCCTGTGCCACGATGGGGACCCCAATGCCATCCCCACCCTGCCAGTCACAGGGACCCTGCTGTCACCCCTGCCCTGTGCCATGACTGGGACACCAGTGTCACTCACCTGTTGCTGTGATGGGGACCCCAATATCCTCCTTGCCATGAGGGGGACCCCAATACGACCCCTGCTGGTGATGGGGACCCCCGTGTCATTAGGGACCCTTTTTGCTGCCCTGTTCCCCACACCTGCCCCCCTCCCCTCAGCTCTGACCCCACATCTGCCCCCATATCAAGCCCCCATCCCTGACCCCCATCTGTCCCCTCCTTGTCCCTCATGGCTGACCCCCTTTTCCCCCAGGTCTTCGGGGCAGTGCTGAACATCAACCGGGGCAACCCTGGCCAGTTCGAGGTGCTGGTGGACAAGTGGCCCGAATTCGGCGCCGTGCTGGCCCGGCCCAGCGGAGAGGTAGCCAGTGGGGACACGGGGCGCTGCAGGAGGGGGGTGACACGGCGCCCTGGCATGTGCCAGGCGTGCTCAGAGCAGCCGTGGGTGCCCCCAGGTGCCGGCCAACGACGGGTACTGGAACACGCAGGCGGCGTTCTACCGGGACCTGGGCGCGTACCGGGCGCTGCTGGAGACCCCTGGCTGCCTGCGCTGGGACGCCGCCTTCACCCTCATCGGTGGCCTGGGGACATCCTGGGGAGGGACTGGGGAGGGACTGGGCAGCACTGGGAGTGTGGGACGCCAGGGAGAGCTGGTGGAGGCAGGGAGGAACTGGGAGGTACTGGTGGAGGGGATTGGGAGTGCTGGGGGATGCTGGGGATGGGTGTTTGGGTGCTGGGGAGCACTGGAGGTTTGATTTGGTGTGCTGGTGTGGGGTTTGGTGGGTGATACCAGTGGGAAGCGTTGGGGAGGGATTTGGGGGTGCTGGGGAGCAGCAGGGAATTGCACTGCTGGGTGCCCTGGAAGCAGGGTCCTGTGGGGGGTGCTGGGGTTGAACTTGGGGATTCTGGGGCTCTGGGAAGCATTGCAGCTGGATTTGTGGGTCCTTGGGGACACTGGGGGTACTGGAGTTGGACTTGGGGATGCTGGGGCACTGGGAAGAATTGCAGCTGGATTTGTGGGTCCTTGGGGACACTGGGAGTGCTGGGGTTGGACTTGGGGATGATGGGAGCGGGATTGGGGTAGTGGGCACGCTGGAAGCAGGGATTTGGGTGCTGGGAATAGAGACTGGTGTTGCAGGTAGGCCCTGGGGACACGGAGGAGGACACTGGGGTCATACAGGGGCGCTGGGGACAGGGATGGTGGAGTACAGGGGGAACAGAACCCCCTGATACTCCCATCCCCAGGGCTGCAGGATGGGCTGGCCACGGTGTCCCAGGAGCTGGCAGGGAAGAAAGGTGTGGAGCTGGACATTGTCGAGTACTACTCCTACTGGCACCCTGACCCCAGCAGCATGCCGGAGCCCCGGTGAGAGCCCCCCACCCTCATCCCCACACGGGGACACCCCCGAGCCCCCCACTGACCCCTGCCTCACCCAGGCCAGCCCCCGGGGTGCGCGTGGGCTCCCTGAGCCCCTCGCACGTGGACCTGCTCAACGAGACCTGGCCCTACGGGGGCAACGCCCGCAGCCGGCGCTTCCTGGCCGAGATCTTGGGGCGCTTCCCGCAAGTGTGCCTGCAGGACGGCAGTGGGCAGCCCGTGGCCTGGGTGCTGACGGATCATTTTGGGACCGGCACCCACAGCTACACCCTGCCCGAGCACCGGCGGCACGGGCACATGCAGGTGGCGCTGACGGTGGCGGCGCAGCGGGCACACGCCCGCGGGTTCCCCACCTTTGGGCACACGGCGCTGGGCAACCGGCCCATGCAGCAGCTGCAGGAGATGCTGGGGAACCGGCGCCTGCCCGGGGTCTGCCGCTACATCCTGCACAATCCCGGCCTGGACAGGGATGGGCCCTGAGGCCCTGCTGTCCCCTATCCTGCACAATCCCAGCCTGGACAGGGACGGGCCCTGAGGCCCTGCTGTCCCCTCTTCGTGCTGACATCAAATTAAACAGTGGTGTGGACTTTTGTGGGTTTTGTGTCCCCTCAGCACTGACGGTTACAGCGGTGACACAGCTTGGTGGCTCACGTGTCACCGCTGAGGCACACGGTGGGATCCTCTGGGAGTCACCCCAAGCATCTCAGTTATTCTCAGTCCCCCAAGGGAGGGCTGAAAGCCGCAGGCAAATCTGCACTGGTGGCACCTGCAGTGTCACCCCCTGAACCAGGGCGGTGTCACCACAGCTGGGGGTGGGACAGGCAGGCACTGGGGGGACAAACAATGACACACAGGACAGAGTGGGACAGGGCAGACGGTGACAGTGTCACAGGGTGAGTCATGGTTTGGGAGACTGATGGGGACAGACAGGGGGGTGACAGTGTTCAGGCTGGTGGGGAGTGCTGGGATGGGGGTGACAATGTCCAGGCTGACAGGGAGAAACCACAAGGGTGACAGTGCCTGAGGTGATTGGGACTGTCACAGGGGTGACAATGCCAGAGCGTAGTGGGCACAACTGGGAGGTGGCATTGTCTGGGGTGACAGTCACTGACTCGAGTGACAGTGCCAGGGGAGCAGGGGACACTGGGATGGAGGTGACAGTGCCCTCGGGATGACAGGAACTGCCGCGGGGGTGACAGTGCGGCTGCTGGCAGGGACAGCATGGGGAGGTGACAGCACCCGGGGACAGCCGGGGGGTGCCGACCCGGGCGGGGGACCGGGGCCACCGCGAGGGAGGCAGCGGCCGAAGGTGGCAGCGGCCGAGGCGCCCATGGCCGGTGGCCCAGCCCGGCCCCGCCGCTTCCGCCCGGCCGCGGGCAGGGGCGGGTCCCTGCCGGCGGTTCCCGGTACTGGCGCGTCCCGCCCGGTTCCCGGTAGCGGCAGGGCCGTGCCAGCTCCATGTCGCGCAGGGCCATGGAGCAGCCCCGGCGCATCACCGACTCCTTCCCGCGGCGGCGGCGGCGGCGGGGCCCGGGGCGGCCCCCGGGCCGGCTCAAGGACAGGAAGGACAAGGACAAGGACCAGGACCAGGACAAGGCGCAGCTGAAGGTGCGGGAATGTCCCCGCGGCCCCTCGCAGCCCCCCCCGGACCCGGCGCTCATGGAGATGTTGCGGCGCTTCGACCTCGCCTGGGAGTACGGGCCCTGCAGTGGTGAGCACCCCCGGTTCCCCTGCTTGTCCCGGTTCCCCCGCTTGTCCCGGTGGTCCCGGGCTCCCCCCGGCCCCGCTGAGCCCCCGGTATCCCGCAGGGATCACCCGCCTGCAGCGCTGGGAGCGGGCACAAGAGCTGGGGCTGAGCCCCCCCGGGCCCATCCGTGACGCCCTCCTGGAGCACCGCGACAACCCCGATGTCACCTACAGGTGGGCGTGGGATGGGGTGGCATGGCATGGGATGACATGGCATGGGATGCCACCTGCCCTCCCCGCTGACCCCGCTGTGTCCCCACAGCCTGTGGCACGAGTACGAGCTGTGAGCGGCCGCGCAAGGGAGCAGAGAAACCATTCCCGACACCCGCAGACCCTATTGCAGGGACCCCGGGTGGATTAAAGCTGGTGTGAGCGAAGGAAGGGGTGCCGTGTGCTGTCTGGGGGGCACGGGGTGGGGTGAAGCCCTTGGGGTGCAGGGGGAGGGCAGGGAGTTGCATTCCCCCCAAAAAAAGCCAGGTGGGGTGTCCATCTCACAGTTTGATGTCACTCAGCTGGGACTCAGGGAGAAAAATGTGTTCTTGGGTGGAGAAAGGGAGGTGGGATTTTTTCCCCCAGGAATGGGGTGAAAAAATGAAGAATGAGGTATAAAATCAGCTGAAAGTGAGCTCAGGGGGCTGTGGATGGTGGGGATGTCCTGCAGCGGGGTGGGAAGAGTGTCCTGTGGGATTCATATGTTTAATAGCCCAGATCAGCAGCTTTGCTGTGTGCAGAATCATAAATAACAGGATGTGTCTGTTAATTATTCAGGTTATCAATGACTTAATTCACCAGCTCTTTCTGTTGTTTCATCAATAAAATAAATTGTTTCTATATGTGGTGGGTCTAGTGTTGATTGAATGCTACTGCACCCACTAGAATGTATTTAGTTATTTTTTGTTGATTGTTTTGGTGCATTTTATCAGCTTTAATTTTGGGAATATGGGTATTTATATGGTAGACTTTTATAGGTAGTTTTTTATCTTGGTAGTGATGCCTTTTTAATTTCTAGCAGTCTAAATTAGTATTTTTTTATGCTGCTAATTAGTATTTTAAATTTTTTCTAGCTATCCTCACAGAGTACTGGTAACTATTTATGAATTAGTGTAGAGGTAGAGTTTTGGCTGCAACGGAGCATTGGAGCCAGCAGTAATTTGGGATGGGGTGGGATGGGTGGGGGGTCACTCAGAACTCCCATCCCACTCACACTGCAGGCTCCAGACTCTCTGGATTGCATTATCCAGGTGGATCTGGTCCTGCTGTTGGAGCTGCAGTCCCTTGGATATCTTCTAGAGACAGGACATAATTCCTCTGCTGGGCACAGGATAGAGGTGCTTAGGAAATCAGCCAAAAATAAGCATCTACACTCAGCCAACCCAGGGCTGTGCCCTCCTGGTGGGAAGAAGGAGGGAGATTCCCACTCTCCTTCCTTGGCAGAGGGTCAGTCCCAGCCTGGTGGGTGTCCCAGGAAAGGGGGAAGTGTTTGGGATGGCTCCAGCTGCAGGAAGAGCCCTGGGAGATGGAGATGGACAGCAGCAACCTCAGGGGCAGTTTCCAGCCAGGAACCTCCTTCCCTGGGAGGGTGGGTTTAGGTGGGATTTTGGGAAGAAATCCCTCCCTGTAAGGGTGGTGAGGCCATGGCACAGATTGCCCAGAGAAGCTGTGGCTGCCTCAGGCTTGGAAGTGTCCAAGGCCTGGTTGGATGGGGCTTGAAGCAACCTGCGCTAGTGGAAAGTGTCCTGTGGGTTGGGGTGACAACATGAAGGGACACCATCTCAGGGGGTGGCGGGGGCAGCACCTGGCTTTCCCCTCCACCACGGCCACAGCGAGCTGCGGGCTCTCTGTGTGCTTCAGTTCACCGGTCCCGCTTCCAGCCCCAATTCCAGCCCAGGCCTAGGCCGCTGCGGTTGCCATGGCAACCCGGAAGTTGTGCTCCTCGCGCAAAGGCCGCCGGGAGTTGTAGTTCCTCCGTGCCGCACAAAATGGCGCCGCTGGGTCCCTGTGCCCGCCCGGTGTCCCCAGAGTGTTCACTCCGATCCCTACCGACAGCAGCCCACCCTCCAGGTGCTCAGGGTCACAAAGCCACCAAGGGCTGCCATTTCCACGCTTTATTGCCAGTGCAGGAGCAGTGTCGGTGTTTGTGTGCGTGGGGCTGGGGCAGAGGCACGTCCCAGCCCCAGGGTGCGGGCGGGGCGTGGGCGGGGCGTTCCGGCTCTCTGGCCACGCTCACATACGTAGGCCACGCCCATCCCCTTGTTGCTATGGCAGTGAGTAGGTCCTGTCTCATGCCCCCCAAATTAAGGCGTGGGTTCATCTGTGTGGGCGTGGCCAGGTGCATGGGTGTGGCACTGGGTGTGGTCATCACTATGTGTGTGGTCATCACTATGGGTGTGGTCACTAAACGGGGCGGGGCCACCATCCAGGCTGGCCTGGCGCACCACGCGGCGTGGGCGGGACGAGGGTCGTGACCTCGGGGAGGGACCCTCTGCTTCCTGCGTGGCCTCAAACACCTGACAGGGGACAGTGGGGTCATGCCGTGCTGCTGTCACCCCACAGCTGGACCCCCATTCTGCCCTGACCCCCACTCACCTCCCCGGCCAGGGGCTCCCCCAGCAGCTCCAGGGGCTCGGGGTTCTCCAGCAGGCTGATGCTCCGCATGACAGAGCACAGGGAGATGCGGGGGCGCCGGGAGGCCCCCAGCAGCCCCCCTGCAGCTGCCTCCTCCTCGGAGGGCTGTGGGGATGCCAGCGGGGAGCACAGCGGGGACAGGCCACTCGTGTCCCTTGCGGTGTCCTCCTCGGGGTGCGGCACCTCGGCCGCCCGGGGCTCCCACAGGCTGCTGTGCCGGCTGCCACAGAGCTGTCAATCAGCACCTGGCCACTCCCCCTGCTGGGAGCCACACCTGCTCGGCTGGGTGGGGTCCCATGGGCTCCTCCCCCACAAAATGTCCCACACCTTTCCAGGTAGGGCACGGGCACTGAAGCCCCGCCCACCCACACAAAGATGTTTGGTCCCAACAGGCCCCACCCAGCTGTCCCCACCCAGCTGTCCCCACGCACCTGGCGCTCAGGATGCCCTGGTAGAAGTCGAGCTGGCGCATGAAGCCGGGGTTGGGCAGGACGCCGGGCCGGCAGTGCCGGACGTGCCGCAGCGCCCGCTCCAGGGGCCACCCGAACTCCTTCATGGCGTAGGCCAGCACCGTGGCGGCCGAGCGGCTCAGCCCCATGCGGCAGTGCACCAGCGCCCGGCCTCCCGCCGCCCTGCGGCACCCGCCGCTGGCACCACGGCACCGGGCACTCCCAGTGTCCCCGAGGTGTCCCAGTGTCCCCAGAGCTCTCAGTGTCCCCAAGGTGTCCCAGTGTCCCCAGAGCTCCCAGTGTCCCCCAGCCATCCCAGGATCCCCAGAGCTCCCAGCATCCTCCAGCCATCCCAGTGTCCCCACAGCTCCCCATGTCCCCAGCCATCCCAGTGTCCCCAGAGCTCTCAGCATCCTCCCGCCATCCCAGTGTCCCCACAGCTCCCCATGTCCCCAGCCATCCCAGTGTCCCCAGAGCTCTCAGCATCCTCCTGCCATCCCAGTGTCCCCAGCCATCCCAGTGTCCCCAGAGCTCTCAGCATCCTCCAGCCATTCCAGTGTCCCCAGCCATCCCAGTGTCCCCAGCGCTCCCAGCATCCTCCAGCCATCCCAGTGTCTCCAGAGCTCCCAGTGTCCCCAGCCAACCCCCTGCTCCCCAGCATCCCATGCCCCAGCACTGTAACCATCAAGACCTCTCTCCATGTCCCCCTCTGCCCCACCCCACCTCCAGCCCTGGTGTCCCCCATGGTGTCACCCTCATGGTGTCACTGACCGGACGCGGGAGAGGAAGAGGAAGGTGTCGTTCCAGTGGGGCAGGAGCTCGGCCGCCTCCTCGTCGTACACCCGCACGTTCATGTACGTGAACAGTGCCGGGAAGAAGTTGTCAATCTCCCGCGCCACGTTCAGGATGTGGGTGACCCTGTGGTGACACGAGTGACACCCCAGGGGCAGCTCGTGGTGACCCCATGACGGTGCCACCCCATGATGGTGCTCACCTATTCTGCTGCAGCTCCTCCAGGTTGGCTGCGTTCCACTCGGAGCCCTGCGTGGTGACAGCGGTGAGGGGAGGGGACAGTGCCACCCGCCCCGCCCGCCGTGCCCGCCGTGCCCGCTGCCCACCAGGAAGAGGTGCGGGAAGACGCGGGAAGGCCGATCCATCTGCGCCAGCACCAGCAGCATCTCGTTGTCAATGAAGTCCTTGTGCTCGGCCAGGCTGTGCCCCGTGCGCCGCTCCAGCTCCTCCCGCACCTGGGCGCCACAATGGGTGAGGGATGGCCCTGCCAGCCCGCCCTGTCCCCAGCACACCCTGCTGCCACCCCGGTGCCACCCACCTCCTTGGAGGTGACATTCTCCAGGTCGGCGGTGGCCATCACCTCCCGCAGCAGCGCCCGCACCGCCTGCTCCGACAGCTCCGGCATGGCTGGCCTGCCACCGGCACCGGCACCGCCGTGTCACCGCTGTCCCCTGCCCCACCCGGGCCACGCCCTGCCAGGCGCGGCAGCGATTGGCCAGCGGGTGCAGGGCGTGGCGGGGCGTGGCGGGAGCTTACCGGAGGGGCGTGGGCGAGGCGGGGCGCACGGACTCGAGGTCGGCCATGGCCAGCCACTCGTTGAGACAGCTCTGCTCGGAGCCCAGCGCCGCCGCGTAGCCGCGGGCCCAGGCCAGCGCGGGGCCGCCGGGGATGTGCCCGCCGCGGGCCGCGTCCTCGCAGGCGCGGTGCAGCTCCTGCAGCGCGGCCCTGCCGCACAGCACCTGCCACCCTGCGCTGCCACCGCCTCCCCGGTGCCACCCCCACTGCTGTGTCCCCCTCACTGGCCGTCCCCAGCGTGTGGGTGCCACCCAGCCCTCCCCAGCTCCTTCCCCCTGCCCGTGCCCATGGTGGTGCCCATGGTGATACCCACATCCCCTGTGCCCAGGATGGTGACAGCACCCCTCGTGTCCCCAGCAGTGCCACATCCCCCGTGTCCATTGTGCAGCTGAGATCCCCTGTGCCCCTGGCAGTGCCCGTGCCCCCAGTCCCCGAGGTGGTGCCCACCCCCGTGGTGCTCTCCAGGCCACCCACACCCCCCGTGCCCAGGGTGGTCCCCACGCCCCCCGTGGTCACGCCCAGGCCTCGCTCACCACATGGTCTGCACAGAGATGGGCTTGAAGATGCGTGTCTCTCCCCCCGATGTCACGCTGAACCCCCTGGGCATCAGGGAGACACACGTGGGTTAGCGTGGTCACCCCGATCCCTCTAGGCCCCTCCCTGTCCCAAAATTCCATCCTGCCCTTACCCGTCGCCGTCGAGGAACACCTGGGTGTCGCTCCAGAGGGGCAGCACCATGCCCAGGGTGCAGTGGCTGGCCCTGGGGCAAGCAGGGGTCAGGGGGTGCCGACGCCTCCCCGGGCCCCCCCGCACCCCGCTCACCCCTCGTGGGCGAAATCCACTCCCAGCAGCGCCGTCTCCGCCTCGGCTCCCGCCTCCTCCGGCCGCACCAGCAGCAGGTACCGCACCCGCCGCGGCCGCGCCGACTCCAGCCGCACCGCCTGCCGGAACGGCGGGAATGCCGGGGGATCTGCCCCTTCCCAGGGCTCCCAGTGACCGGGGAGGAGCACCGCGCTGGGCCGTATCCCCTCCTCATCACTTCCCATTCCATCCCCATCCCCATTCCCATCCCGTCCCATCCAGTCCCCATCCTCATTGCATTCCCATACCTTTCCTCGATGTTACTGCTTCCGTCCCCATCCTGTGCCCACCTTCATTCCATCCCCATCCCAGCCCATCCTATCCCATATTGTCAATTTTCTCACCCCATTTTGTCCCCATCCATCCCCATCCCCATGCCCATCCCATCCCATCCCATCCTATCCAGTCCCCATCCCTATCACATTCCCCCTTCCTCGATGTTACTGCTTCCCATTATCCCCATCCCATCCTATCCACTCCCCATCCCTACTGCATTCCCATACCCTTCCTCAATGTCACTGCTTCCATCCCCATCCTGTCCCCACCTTCATTCCATCCCCATCCCCATCCCCATCCCCATCCCCATCCCCATCCCCATCCCCATCCTATCCTGTCAATTTTCTCTCCCCATTTTGTCCCCATCCACATCCCATCCCCATCCCATCCCTGCTCCTGACCCCATCCATCTCTTTCCCTGTCCCCATCCCATCCCCACTCCTGTCCCCATCCATCTCTTTCCCTGTCCCCACGCCATCCCCGTGTTCCTGGAGGGTGGATCTGTGTCCTACCAGCCGGATGGCGTCCTGGGGGCGCAGCAGCTGCATCATGAGGTGCAGGTGCCGCTCCTGCTGTCCCGGGGCCTGGCAGGGGGGCTCGGCCGGGGGGGGCTCGGCCGGGGGGGGCTCCTCGGCAGGCAGGAGTCGCGCAGCCCCCTTGACCATGACGAAGCTCTGCCTGGGATGGGGGCAGGAGGGTCCTGAGCACCGGGGGCACCCCCAAAGTGCTCCCCAAAGGGGGGAACTGTGTCCCCATCCCACCCCATGCCGAGGTTTTGGAGCCCCTCTCACCGTCGCTGCAGCTGGCCGCGTCTGGGAGCATCTTCCTCCTGCAAATTGGGAGGCAGTTCCAGGGGGAAACGTGACCCCAGGGCATGGAGCAGGCTTGGGGGTCCCACCAGGGGGACACCGCAGTCCAGTGACCCCTTAAACCCACCAAATAGTGTGGGCCCCACGGGGGGCATAGGGGCCCTTTGGGGGTCTCACTGTGGAGATGGATCCCTGGGGACCCCCTCGGGATGGCGGGGGGGCGTCTCATCCCTGTGCCCCTCATCCCTGGCTGGGTGAAAGCACTGGAAGGGGGGCCTGGGATGAACACCCAGAAAGGCCCAGTGGTCGCTGGGGGAGGTACTAGGGGACACCGGGACAGCGACGGGACTGGGAGAGGTGGCAAAGTGAGTGTGACAAACATCTCCATCCACACTTCACATTCCTCCCTCAGCTATGGGGAAACCCCAGCCGGGAGCACAGGAAACACCAAGGCGTGCTGGGGGCAGCCCCGTTGCCGGCAAACTCCCAGCAAAGTCCCATCGGAAGCGCCTGGGATGACCCCGCACCGGGAGCGACCGGAGCAACCTTCACCGCCCGGCCCGCGCTGGCACCCCCGGGACGGCGGCACCTTCCTCGCCGGGACCTTCCGGAGCTCCGGGAACCCGCGGGTCACTCCGGGACCCCCCGCCCGACACAGCCCCGCGCAGCCCGCACTCCCCGCACCGGGATCCCCGGACCGGCCCGTTTCCCCGGGCACCGGGACCCGCAGCAGCTCCGGGAACGGCAGGAGCTCCGGGACGCCCCGGTCCGCCCCGTGCCCTCGCACCGGGGCCCCCGCGGCTCGGGGCCAGCCCGCACCGGCTCGGGGCCAGCCCGCACTCCCCCGGGCGCCCCCGTGCCAGCCCGCACCGGGACCGCCCCTGTCGCACCGGGACCCCCCGCCCGTCCCCGCCGGGATGCGCCGTCCGGTGCCGCACTTACCGCGGGGCCGCCGGCGGAGCCCCCCGCCCGCCGCACCGTCACCAGCGCCATGCCCCGCCGCGCCGCCCCCCCGCACCAGGAAGCGCCGCCGCTGCCCCGCCCGGACGGGAACGAGAACGGGAGCGGGAGCGGGCACGGCCGCGGGCACGTCCCGGCACGGCACGGCTCCCCCCGTCCCTCAGAGCGGCACCTCCCCGGTGCCCCGGAGCCCCCCGGGCCCCACATCCGTGCGGGCAAGGCGGGATTGACACTCCAGCACTTGAGACACCTCTGGATCCTCCGAAAGTGGGAACCATCCGAGGGTCCCTGGCTCTTGGGGCCCTCCCCCAGTCTCCCAGAATATGTGATGCCTTCCCCAGACTCCAGAAACTGTGGGCCCCCCGAGGGACCTTGGCACCAGACATCCCGGGTTTCAGCCTATGGGAATACCCCAAGTGTCCCCAGCAGCTCACTCCCAAAGTGCCCCTTGTGACCCCATGGATCCCCAGCCAAGCCCCCCTCCCGGGGCAGGGGTCTTTTCCCATGTAATATAAACAAAAAAACCCATTCCTTGGGCCAGGAATGGGGGCACAGGGCCAGATTTGGGGTGAGCTGAGGAGGAGCAGCCCACTAGTGCCACCCACACGCTCACTGGATGAGCCCCATCACCTGAGCCCCACCCTAGCTGCAAGATCCATCCCTTTTCCCAGGCCCCACCCCTGAGACACCCCACCCATCGGGCCCCAGGCACGGACACACGTGTGTATATATATATATATAATATATGTATATGTATATGTACAGACATTCGGGGCCCCCCGCCCCCCCAGTGCCCCAAAGGACGAGGCCTGGGGGTCCCCCAGCAGTTCCCCCCAACACTGCAGTGCCTTAAAATAGGGGTCACCTGCATCCCACGGGGACCCCCGGGTCCGTCCTGCCCCCCATGGGTCACAGTACAACACCAAAGAGGAGGGGTTCCCTAGGCAGGGCTCTGGGCACAGGTGAGGGTCCCTGGGCTGAGGTTTGAGCCTGGCGGGAGAAGAGCCCTGGATTGGGGGTCCCGGGTGTAGGAGGATCCCTGGATCAAATCCCCTGTGGGGGGCTGTACCCACATCAGGGGGGTCCCCGTCACGGGGGGGCCGTCCCGGCACCGGCTGCTCCCCAGGCAGGGCTGTGCCCGCCCCGGGCCATCCTGGTGTGGGACAGCGCCCGCACCGGGGTGTCCCCTGCCTGGGGTGTCCCTATCCCTGCAAGGGGTGTCCCCACGTGGGACATCTGCGTCCGTGTGTGGGCTGACCCCACATGGGACACCCCGGTCCCTGCGTGGGACGTCCCCGTGCCGGCGTGCAGCGCCCCGGGGCGGGCGCTACTTCTCGGTGAGGGAGAGGCGCAGGATGCGCTGCAGCTCCTCGTCCTCCTCGCGCCGCCGCCGCTCCCGCTCCTCCTGCTCGCGCTCCGACAGCGCCATGGCCAGGCGCAGCTGCTCCGCGAAGCTGCCGTACCCGGGCGGGCCCGGGGGGCTCCCGCCACCCGCTCCCGGGGGGCTCCCGGCGGCCGGGGGCTCGGCGCTGGGCCCCGCCTGCAGCAGCATGCTCTCCTGCAGTGCCCTGGGCAGGGGACAGCAGTGGGGACAAACCCGTGTCATGGCAGCCACACCCATGTCATGGGTGTCACACCCATGTCATAGCAGCCACACCTGTGCCATGGCAGCCACACCTGTGCCATGGGAGCCACACCCGTGTCGTGGGTGTCACACCCACGTCATGGGAGTCACCCCCCTGTCATGGGAGCCACACCAACATCATGGGAGCCACACCCATGTAATGGGTGTCACACCCATGTCATAGCAGCCACACCCCTGTCATGGCAGCCACACCCCCTCTGTCACACTTCCACCCCACCCCTGGAGGCCACACCTCCTTCACAGCCCTTAAATGGCCTGGAGAGCCATGCCCCTCCCCACATGCCCCACCCAGCGGTTAGCCACGCCCATTATGGCCACACCCTTTGGGCAGCAAGAAGCTCCTCCCTTTCAGCCCCTCCCCTGGCCACAGCCCGACACCTTTAGCCCCTGCCCCCCTAACCCATGGACCCTTTACCTGCCCCACCCTGACACCTTTAATCTCTGCCCCACCCAGCTTGGCCCCGCCCAGGTGAGGTGGGTGTGGCGCTCCAGGCCACGCCCCCATGGATGGAACCTCACCTTTCCAGCTGCAGGTCCTCATCGTAGGGCGGCGGCTCTGTGCCGGGGCGGGTGTTGGTCAGCGCCTCCCAGATGGTCACCTGCGGGGCGTGGTCATGTGTTAGGGGCGTGCCCAGGTGTGTGTGGGGCGTGTCCGGGGAAGGAAGGGGGCGTGGCCGCACCTGGTCGGTCTCGGTGCCGGCATCCAGCAGGCTCTGCTGGATGGCGAACTGCAGCAGGTCGTCGTCCTCGTCACGCAGGGGCTCGCTGCGCCCCGCGCCCAGCACCGTGTACCCCGCCGGCACCTCGAACACACCCGCCTCCACCTCGCACGGGAACGGCCATGCTGCCACACACGGTGAATCGTCAGCACCGCCCACAGCTGTCCCCATGGCACCTCACGGCACCTCATGCTGCCCCACAGCTCCTCATGGCATCCTGTGACACCCCGCACCCACCCTGCTACATATCCATGGAATGCCAGCCCTCCCTGGCCCCCAGGCTCACCTCTGGGCCCCGAGGGCTGGGTGCCGGGGGGGTGGGCGCCGGGGGGCTCCTGGGGGGTGCAGATCCGCACGGAGCCCAGGGGCTGGTCACAGCCACACAGGTTGCTGAAGGTGATGCGGGCGTTGAGCACGTGGAACAGGGGGATCTCTGCGGGTACAGGCGCCAGTTGAGGCCCCATGAACTCCTGCCCCTGATAATCCCACCCCAAATAAAGCTTTCCCTCTCACCGATCTTGACGGGGAAGCCAGGGGGCAGCTTGAGGGTGATGAAGTCGCGCAGTTTGGCGAAGTGGGCGTTGGAGATGGCCATGAGGTCGATGATGGGCGTCACCTGCTCCGCCAGCGACAGCGGGTGCTGCTCGCACAGCCACAGCGTCGCCTTGAACCTGCCCAGGCACCACCGTGGGCACGGGGACCCGCCGGGGCCACCAGCACCACCCCCTGGCCACACCCCCGATGTACAGACAGCGGCACGGCCCCCGAGGACTCTGTCACCATCCCAAGGACTCTGTCCCCATCCCGAGGACTCTGTCCCCACCCGTGGGATGGTGGCCTCACCTCTGCACCTTGCTGGACATCTCGATGGGGCGCCCGATGTTGCGGGTCTCCAGGTCAAAGTGGGGGTCGAAGTACTCCTCGGGGGTGATGGCCGTGGGGTTGGTGGGGCTGGCAGCCTGCAGGATGGGTGCCTGAGGGGACAGCAGCACTGCTCAGCCCCCCTGGACACTCCCAGTGTCCCTAGGGACCCTCGGGATGGCCACTCACCCCGTTGTGTGTGCCGTGCTGCTGCGCGATGCCCAGGAAGGAGTGGAAGGGGGTCTTGGAGCCTGGGGGGAGAGGGGGGTACAGGGTGAGGTGTGGGCAGTGGGACGGACTCCCAGGGCTGTCACTGGTCACACCCCTCATGGGTGGCAGACTCCACGCTGTCCCATGCCTGTCACATTATCCCCACAGTTTCCCACAGCTGACATGTCACACCCAGAGTGTCCCACATCTGACATGTCACACCCACTGTGTCCCACACCTGACATGTCACACCCACAGTGTCCCACACCTGACACCCATGCCACCCAGGAAGGGTGGCGTGTGCCCACCGTGTACAGGTCCCCTGATTGGCTGACAGGGCTGTCACCTTTGCTGCGTGACTTGTCCTGGTCGGAGAGATGCTCCGTCCTGGTCTTGGTGACCAGCTCCACGTTGCTGGCACTGTACACCTGCGTGGGGACACCGTCAGGCCTGCCACACTCCGGGCTGTCCTCAGTGTCCCCCATGTCTCTGCGCTCACCTTGGCCTCGTAGCCGCTGACCACCTCCATCTTCTCCGAGCGCCAGCCCCAGATCCCAGACTTGTTCCTGGGGGAGCAGGGAGGCCTCACTCACCCTCTTGCACCAGCGCTTCCTTCCCCTTCGCCCACGCTTCCCCCTCGCACGGCCCCTGCTTGCTGAGACCTCCCCTTCCCTCCCTTCCCTCCCCTCTGCACCTCTCGAAGGCGATGTTCCGGGTGTCCAGGTGCGTGGACACGATGGGCGAGGTCAGCCGGCCGGCCACGTGCTCCTCGCTGGGCTGCATGGCCGCCAGCAGAAGCTCGGGCTCGTGCAGGGCCAGCGCCAGCGTCTCCGTGTACACCACCTGCTTGTCGTGGTCCACCTCCATCACCACGGCCCCCTCATCTGCATGGGGACACCCAGGGCTCAGCTCCATGTGACAACCCCAGGCCTGGGGGGCACTGGGGGGCTGGGGGGATTGGGGGTCCCTTGTACATGCGGGAGCCGAGGTGGTTCCCTCAGGGAGAACTTTGGTTTCCTTGGGGAATTGAGGGTGCCTGGTAAAAGAACTGAGGTGTTCTCCTCAGGAGGGGGGAACTGGAATCCCACATGGTCCCTAGAGGGTATCTGGGAGGTCCTTATGGGAGTATTCATAGTGCAGAGGGTCTGGGGGATCTCCAGGGAAGCCCCTGTATGGAATCTGGGGTCTTTACAGGGGTGCACTTATAGTGCAGGGGGTCTGTGGCTCCCCACAAAGACTGGGGGGCCCCCAGGGAATCCAGCCAGGGGTGCAGGGGGCCCGGGGGCTCCCCAGGGTGACAGAGGGCCCGCGGGGGGCTGGAGCTGACCTTCCCCCTTGAAGATGTAGCTGCGGCGGCCGCGCTGCCACGTCATGTGCTCGAAGCCCAGCAGGGTGGTGTCCACCCGCAGGCTCTCGCCGCGCTTCCACACGCGGTACACGTCGCTGGGACACACCTTGGACACCAGGGGCACTGCGGGCACAGGGACACGTCAGTCCCACGGCCGGGGGGCCCTGGGGACCCCCTTCCCCTTCCCAGCCCAGCCACGCTCACCCCAGCTGGTGAACTCCCACTTCATCTCCACGTAGAAGTCGGATGC